ATCTTTCCTTGCATGTGCCTTGCCTCCAGTGGCTAGTCAGACATAGAGAATCTGGTTTCTCGGTTTTGTTTACTATCTGATGCCAGGACCTGGCCCAAAGTACATACTTGACAACCATGTATTGAATGAATGAAAAAGTTAATGGATGCTGCGAAAAGTTTGAATTTCCATGTCTGGTTTAGGTCTTTCTATTTGTGCCCACAGAAGAGCGGTTCGTGTAGGATGAAGACGTCCAGTGTTGGAGGGTGGAGGAGGAGAAGCTGGCTTTCTTTAGGCTCTGCCAGGACAGCAGGGCAAGCCTGGGGGCCTGCCAAGTGTTTCAGGGTCTGTGCGGCCACACTGTCTGTAACTCCTGAATTTATGGGTTAGCACTTGTGTAGTACGCATTTATGCAGAACTTCCAAGTTGAAATTGAATGCACTGGTCACGAATATCTGTGCCTGGAATTGTCCTTGCTACAATCAAAAGTGGATATTTGTTTTCAGGGATTCCCCATGTCTGGCAACACCATTTTTGTTTTTAGTTTCGTTTTTCTCACTCCACTGTTCCCACACCTTTTGCCTTTATCCTTCACCTTGAGTTCATTCTCCTGCGATCAGACCCATGTCTCAGAAGCCTTAGTTCCTTCCTCTGCATTTCTAAAACACAACTGTCCTCCTACCTATATTTCAGGGATCTGTCTGCACTTCAATAACTCATTGGTTGTCCATGTTCAGAATTTCTCTCAAGTATTTCATGGACTGGACTCCAAGACAGCTCTCTACATTGTCTCTAGCACTCTGCATTTTGACATAGCCTACTGGATAAATCATAGACAACGAGGCTAATCTACTGACAGAAATTGTAAATACTAGAGAACTTCAGGAGAAAATAGCTAGAAAGGAGAGGCAGGCCTACGAATGCTGCTTAAATCAGCCCACTGTGGTGCACAGTTGCTCCTGAGCACTCCCTCGAATGGCTCTTGGATGGTCAATCAGTGCCTGCCAGGATTATCCTGGATTATGTATTAGATGACTGAAGTTACATTGATGCTGATGGCAGTGGAGAACCACAGCATGGTATCAAGGGAAGGAAGAGCAGCTTTCTGTTTGTACGTAAATACATGCACACCTCATTTTATTGTGCTTTGCACATAGTGTTTTGGTGGTGTTCTTATTGTTGTTTTTTTTACAAATTAAAGGTTTGTCACAACCCTGTGTCAAATAAGTCTATCAGCTTCACCCTTTTAATAGCATGTGCTCACATTGTGTCTGTGTGTCACATTTTGGTAATTCCAGAAATATTCCGAACTATTTTATTATTATTATGTCATTATAATGATCTGTGGTCAAGATCAGAGACCTTTGATGTCACTATTTTAATTATTTTTGGACACCAGGAACTCTGCCTGTATAAAACAGTGAACTTGATCAGTTCTGACTGTGCCACCAACAACTTGTCATTCCTCCACTTCTCTTCCTCTTCTTGGGCCTCCTGATTTCTCAAGATGCTGCAACATTTAAATTAGGCCAATTAATAACCCTACAAGTGTTCAAGTAGACAAAGAGTCACATGTCTCTCATTTTAAATCAAAAGCTAAAAATGATCGAGCTTAGTTAGGAAAGCATGTTGAAAACCAAGGCAGGCCGAGCACTGGGCCTCTTGTGCCAGTTAGCCAACTCACACAAATAAACAAAAAGTTCTTGAAATAAAGTAAATGTGCTACTGAACACATGAACAATTAGAAAGGAAACAGCCTTGCTGCTGATATGGAAAGTGTGTGAGTGATCTGGATAGATGACCAAAGCGGCCTCACCATTTTCTAAGCCAAAGCCTAATACAGAGCAAGGCCCCGATTTCAGCTTGACTCTGTGAAGTCTTCAAGAGGCGAGGAAGCTGCAGAAGAAATGTTTGAAGTCAGCAGAGTCCGGTTCGTGAGGTTGAAGGGAAAAAGCCATTTTCGTAACATAAAAATAGAAGATGAAGCAGCAAGTGCTGGTGAAGAAGCCGTAGCAAGTTATCCAAAAGATCTAGCTAAGACCGTGTGACTCTTTGTCTACTTGAACACTTACAGGGTCATTAATTGGCCTAATTTAAATATTGCAGCATCTCAGGAAATAGGCCGAAGAAGAGGAAGAGAAGAAGAGGAATGACAAGTTAGTTGGTGGCACAGTCAGAACTGATTAAGTTCACCGTTTTCTACAGGCATAGTTCCTGGTGTCCAAAAACAATTAAAATAGTAATATGAAGGTAACTACCCTAAACAACAGATTTGTGATGTAGACAAAACAGCCTTCTCTTGGAAGAAGATGCCATCTAAGATGTTCATAGCTAAAGCGAAGTCAATACCTGGCTTCAAAGGACAGGCTGCCTCTCTTGTTAGTGGCTAATGCGGCCAGTGACCTTAAGTTGAAGCCAGTGTGTATTTACCATTCTGAAAATTCTAAGGCCCTTAACAATTATGCTAGATCTACTGTGTCTGCGCTCTGTAAATGGAAAAGTAAAGCCTGGATGGCAACATGCCTATTTGCAGCATGGTTTACTGAATATTTTAAGTCCAATGCTGATAATTAATGCTCAAATAAAAAGATCTCTTTCAAAATATTACTGGTTATTGACGACAATGCACCTAGTCACCCAAGAGCTCTGTCAACCACCACTATGATCAGTCAGCTGTCACCACTGTCGCTAAGGCAAGACTCTCCAGCAAAAAGATATATAAGGAGATGAAGATATACAAGGAGATTAATGTTGTTTCTTACTTGCTAACACAACATGCATTCTGCAGCCGATGTATCAACAATTAATTTTTGCTTTCAAGTCTTATTCCTTGAGAGAAACATTTCATAAGGCTATCACTGCCACTAACAGTGATTTCTCTGATGGATGTAAGCAAAGTAATTTGAAAACATTCTGGAAAGAATTCACCACTCTAAGTGCTACTGAGAACATCTGTGATTCATGGGGAGAGGTCAGCATATCAGCACTAACAGGAGTTTGGGAGACCGTAACTTCAACCCTCACGGATGACTTTGAGGGGTTCAAGACTTCAGTAGAGAAAGGAAATGTAGATATGATGGAAATAGCAAGAGAAATGGAATTAGAAGTGAAGCCTGAAAAATGGGACTGAGTTGCTGCAATCTTATAACAAAACCTGGGATGAGAAGTTGCTTCTTAAGAATGAGCAAAGGAAATGGCTTCTTCAGAAGGAAACTCCTCCTGGTGAAGATGTTGTGAGCATTGTTGAATAAGAGCAAATGGCTTAGAATATTACACAGACTTAACTGATAAAGCAGTAGCAGCATTTGAGAGGATTGACTCCAGTTTTGAGAGCCATGCTACTGTTGTTTAAGCTTCTATTGAACAGCATTGTACGCCACAAAGAAATCTTTTGTAAAAGGAAGTCAGTCAATGAAGCAAATCTCACTATTGTCTTACTTTAAGAAATTGTCACAGCTACTTAAACTGTCAGCATCCACCACTATGATCAGTCAGCTGCCACCAAGGTCAATAAAGCAAGACTCTCCACCAGCACAAAAATTACCACTTGCTGAAGGCCGAGATGATTGTCAGTATTTTTTAACAATAAAGTATTTTTAAAATGAAAACACGTACTTTCCATTAGACATAATGCTCCTGCAAACTTAGACAAGAATATTGAATAAACATAACTTTTTATGCACCGAGAAAAACAATATGTGTGACTGCCTTTATTGTACTATTTTCTTTTATTGGTGGTCAAAAATGGAACCTGCAACATCTCCGAGGTCCCTCTGTACATGCGCAATCTCGAGATGAGAATGTTCTGTGATCCTTTCTTTTCCTTCCTGGCTTTTTTGAATGGTATATCTATATATGAAAATATTCCTCTGATATTCATGTTGTTTTGAAACAAATTCCTCATGTCCTACCTGAGTCTTTCGGAGAGTGAAAATATGCCCATAAATTTAAGATGATTCAAGATCCTACCTGAGGCAAATTGCAACTTCTCTCAGAGCTTTAATCTTCATGTCTGAAAAAAAGCATAGTTGAATAGTTTAGTATTATGATTCTTTACAACTCTAAATATACTTCGGGGTAAATTTTCATGATCTGGTTTTATAATCCTAGGTTTTAAGATGTTGCATTGGGCATCAGTGTAAGTGAGGAAACTTACATAATTGAATAAATGTAAAAATATATATGTAAGAATTATTAAAATTACTTAAGTGAACATGTTTCTCTAATCAGCTATATAGAGAGAAACTGAGGGTTTGGCATTGATATATTTTACAGTTATTTGTCTCTCTTTTCCTAGATTTCTGAGAAATTCAGAGTTAAATCTGTGATCTGTGACTCAAATCTTTGGTACTGGTGTGGAAACTGGTAGCATATGTTTGGTGTCTCTATTAAACGTCTCCATTTTGCAGCTCAATTTCTTCTCTATTTTATTTATTTTAGCAGGCACCCCATTCTTTAAAATTTGTTTGTAAAAAAGAATGAATCATGCCATATGCAAATACATCACTGTTGACTAAATATGGCCACTCTTAAAAAGACAATGCAGTTATGTATTTAAAAGTGAAAATGGATGATGCTTCCTAATTCAATAAGTGCTTTCCACGTTGAAATTTCTTTTAAAAAAATCTCCACACTCAAAACTGTATTATCTTCTGCTTGTTTAACCAGAAGTATATCTCAACCCCGAGTCTGCCAGCAGTATCTTTAACATAGTTTTAAGGGTCCCTGGTTGAATCTGGCAGCACAGGAATCAGAAGCTTCTGATGGAAAGACAGCCTTTCACCAGTTGGCAGAGGCCCACATTGCTGGCGCCCTCCTGATTCATTTCATGTTGGAGCAGAGACTCTTGCTGCCCCTGCAATCCGCAAGCGCTTCTGTCACACGTATGTGTGTGACTCTACTCTGTTCTCTGTCTGGCTATCTCCACATGTGTGCGAGTTTGCTGCACTTCATGTTGAAAGTCAACTCGAGGTGGAGTTGTTAACCCTGCGGTTTTTTTTTTTTTTTTCCTTTTTTTCTACAGACATATTCCCCAATTCACTCTGGGCTGCCAGAAAGACCAAAAGGAAGTGCAGGGATTTCTTTCTTTTGCGTCCCAGAGCAAACCAAAAAACAACAGCAAACTGTTCAAGGTCTATCAATGGATGCGGGCCAATCCTGCGTTTTCAAGGGGACCTTTAAGAAAAGTCTAAGTGACAAAAGGAAAGATTGCCTGGATGAGGGCCTCCAGACTTTCGAAAGAAATGGAAGTGGGAGCGGCTCTTGGATCACCATTAATATTAACATTAATGTCTTAAGGAGCCAGAAGATCGCCCTTGAGGAGGATGTAGACCAATTCTTAAAAAGTACTTTTAACAGTGGTGATAATTGTCAGAGCATTACGAACAATAGAAGCAAGAGTGTCTTCCCTTTCACAATATCATTCTGAAATGCCACAGTGAAATACTTACAGAAAGCATTACAGAGTAGAAAAAGTGCATATTATTAAAGGTCGTTATAACCTAACTTAATTCAAAAGTGAAAACAAAGAGATGTAATCTGTATTTTTTCACTCTACAAATCAGTGTCGTAAGGGGTAGATACACGTGGAACTTTAAATGCAAACTCAGAGCTCCCAGATACAGCATTCTTTATCTCATATTGACATTTGATTAAATTAGACTGATGCATTTACAGAGTAAATGATCCCCTTGAAGGATGTTCAGCATGTTAACAGTTTTCACTTGAAGTATTAATTGTAACAAACTAACTCACAGTGGCGGAGACATTTGCAAATCTGACACACAATGGTTTCCAATTCTGACTTTAGAGGGACAATTACTGAAGACTGATTCTGAGACAGCATACCTGAAGCTTTCTAATTGACATTTCTGGGTGCCAGAAAGAAATATCTGCAGAGATGTGCATTAGTGAGGGTGTTTAAATAGTGTGATAAATTGTGTAATCTAGTGCATCATGTGGAGAAGAATATCCACTTGTGAGTTAAGCAGGGAGGCACCATTCACTTTGCAAGGGTGTGTGCTGGGCAAGAGGAATAATAAAAACCACAAGATAAGCCCTGCTCTAAAGATACTGACTCACCTGCTGGAGCTGGAAGTTTCATTTATAATTACAGTTCCTTAGTCTAGAACAGTTCAAAACACAGAAAAAAAGAGAATAAGAGGGGCCCTTATGAAGAACAAGAGCAACATGTACAGGGTTTAATTAAAGCTACTCAAGGAAGCAGAGAACTAATGCAGGCCCTGTCTGATTTTTCAACATCTTTAACCTACCAAATGTCTCTAACGTATTATTAAATTACATAATCAGCACATACTTTTTTTTTGTAAGATGAAGAGCTCATTGCTTTACAAAAAGAGCTCGAATTTGTCCTTAAAATTGTTCAAACTAAGCCAGAGCCCATTCTCTAATTCAACCTCATATTCTATGATTTCTATTCGTATACTGATTCAAACATTCAGTATTTTCAGATTCCTGGTTTAGCAGGATTTTGCTTGTCACCAAGGATTGACATTTAAATCCACCATAGCCCTTTTCTCATGGAGCTGTGAGCAGGACAAGAGGAAATTTATAGAGATGATCGAAACACGTTGTCACACGAACACAACAGAGATGCTTTTGAGTCCTTTGTGAACCTAGAAGAGGAACGTTATCATAAATGACCTTCTGGATGCGACAATATTTTTCGGATTTTTGAAAGAAGCAGCATGGTGCAATGAAAACGGCCAAGGTTTTGTAGTCAGCAACCTGTGCGTAAATCTGCGTATGAGTTGTGACATGTAGGAGGAACATCTGTCCGAGCCTCCTTTTCCTATCTGTCAAACACAGGCAATCATACGCATATTCCAGAGTGGGGATGTTCATTAGGTGGTTTGAAGGTCTGACAGCACACTGAGCACATGGTGAAGGCTCTAGTATGTGTATCAGAGTTCACAGTTATTATGTTAGTACGTAGAGCTTAGCAGGTGGGAAACAGGTAGGAAGGAAAGAACATTCTAAACAGGTGGCAGGCAAACGTGAGATGAATAGAGAGAACAGCCTCCCCACAGCAGCGGCTGTGCTGCACTCTGCATACGTGGACGGGGGACGTCCAGCTGAAACACGGGGAAGGGCAAATGTTCCATACAAAGAGGAATAAAACTTGTCATGGGGTTGAGAAACTTTACACAAAATTCTGTAGGAGGGAGTGGTCCCTTCCATTTTATGTTTGACAAAGAATGCCTGGGTTCCATCTTAGAGATGGCTAGGTATTGCTGAGCTAGGTCTGGAGAAACTGTCCAGCAGCCCTAGGGGATGGTCAACGGGCAGTGAAAGTCAGAGTCAGTGGGCACATCTGAGAGATGTGTTGTGGAAGCACTGGTACCTGGTTTATGGAGGTGGTGAAGACTTGGTCAGCTTCCAGTGCCCATACCTGAGACAGGAAAGAGATACTGGAGGAAGGAAAAAAGCTGAGTCCACTGATCTACATGAGTGACCTGTGGGCTCTAAAAACCACAGCAAACATGGATCAGGAGCACAGCACAGAGGTCCAGTTATGAGTAGTAACATAGAGATTGCAGGGCCATAAAGCAATTGAATTTGGGGCATGGTTGATGCAGATTTGCTTATGTGATGTCGTGTGCTCTTTGTTATGACCACCATTGAATTCAAGTAAAATTATCATTTAAAAACCATACCGCAGAAAACCACCAGTTTTCAACCACAAACTAATGCAATTCCTATCTGCCACATGCAGGCAATGGTCCACATATCCCAGCGTAGGGATGTATTTTAAGTGGTTTGAAGGTTTGAGAGCACATCTGAGCACAAGGTGAGTGCACAAGTATGTGTAGCAGAGTTAATAATAACAGACAGGAACCTGTTAACCTCTACTTATTAACATGATGGTGGAAGCCATTCTCTCTCCCTTCCCACAGTTTGCCTGTTACATTTAAAATGTTCTTTCCTTCCCACATAATAACTAGTATTATTAACTTTGATACACATGCTTGGGCACTCATCATGTGTTCAATGTGCTGTCAAACTGATGCAATTCCGTTTGACCACAGATTCAAGGTTGTTACTGATTTTACCAGGAAGGATCTATGAAAAGTTTCATAAGGCTTACTATTTACTCTTGCTTTTTGGTGGCTAAACCACTTGCTTATGAAGGACCTGTAATCACTCAATTAAAATTATTTTGGACTCCTAGGTCAGCTCTTGTTTGTGGCAGTAAATATATCATGACAGTATTAATGTTGCTATTAATGAAGTAATATTAATTATGGTAAAAATATATTTCCAAGTCACAAAAGTCAAATAGTTCATACCCAGAGCTCCTGGTAGAGACAGAACTGAAGCCCAGCTTGCCTCATGCTGAATCCCACTCTATTCACCTTTGTCAAGGCTGCCTCCATATAGATTTTATGTAACATGAGCTCTAAACAAGAATCTGTATTTCCTTTTTCTGACAATGTATGGAATTATGTCTTATTCTCGGTCTTACATTTTACTTCTTGATATGATATAACTTATAAAAAATATCACATGACTCAAAATCTCAAAGGAGATTGGATTTAAAAGCAGGATTTGAGTGAAAGGGGAATAGCAGATAAATTAATAAGGGCAGAAATTCACCCTTCCAGTCTAAATCATGGCGATGCACTCTTCCATTCTAAAGTATGGCAGCTCACCCTTTCATTCTAAAACCTGGAGACACAATCTTCCATTGTAAATGATGAAAATGCATCTTTTCATTCTAAAGTATGACAATGTGTTCCCCTAGACTTCCAGCTTCTAAACATGTCCTTGTACATGATTTAATTTTCTCTAATGCATTAACTTTATTTTATTTTTTTTTAATTTCTATTTTAGGTTCAGGGGTGCATGTACCTGTTTAATATATAGGTAATTTGTGTGTCATGAATTTGCTCGGTGTTCCCCTCCTAGTGTTCCTGTGTTTTCATTGTTGAGTTCTCACTGATAAATGAGACCATGCGATATTTGGTTTTCTATTCCTGCATTAGTTTGCTCAGGATAATGGCCTCCAGCTTCATCTTTGTTGCTGCAAAGAACATACTTGTTATTTTTTATGGCTACATGGTGTTCCATGGTGTATATGTACCACATTTTCTTTATCTGGTCTACTGTTGATGGGCATTTAGATTGATTTCATGCTTTTGCTATTGTGAATAGTGCTTCAATTAACATGCATATGCATGTATGTTTATGGTGGAACAATTTAGATTTCTTTGCATATAGACAAAATAATAGGATTGTTGGATCAAATGATAATTCTGATTTAAGTTCTTTGATGAATCGCCACACTGCTTTCCACAATGGCTGAATTAATTTACACTTCCACCAGCAGTATGTAAGCATTATATTTTCTCTATAATCTCACTAGCATCTGTTATTTTCTGACTTTTTAATAATAGCCATTCTGACTAGTCTAAGTTTATTTTTGAGAGTGCCAGAAATAAGCTGGTATAAGGATTGGATCTGTCATCAATGATCAATAGACTAAGTCTATAAAGTTCAACTGACATTTAAGAGTTGCTGAGAATCAGAGTGTAGCTCATAAGTCGTACAGAAAAACAACATGCACATACTAGATTTTTTTTAGCATAACAGTTTTTACTAGACAGATAAAACTATCTTTGTGATAAGAATTTAACTTTCTTAACTGATAAGGTCTTGTGTTTTCAATGTTAATAGGTGTGGCTGGCAATCTTATTCTGATATTAATGAATGTAATCATTAAAAAGAAAGTACTTTAACCACATGAGCCCATTTCACGTGTGAAAACCTAGAACCTGTGAAAATAATCTATTTCTGCTAATATGAAATTAAGTCTTCTAGTTGGGCCTGCATGAAAAATAAAATTGTTATTACTAAAAGATTCAAGACGCATCATTAATTAAAGATTTCAATGGCTTTTATCAATGGCAGGAAACATTTTGATTCGCAAAAAAACAAATTCACCCTGCTATAAGTTGTTCATCTCTTTGGATATCAACATAATTAAGATACACGTTATAAGATGTTAAACAGGAACTGGACTCAAGAAATAATAGGCAAGGGGAGAAAAGCAGAAAAATCATCCTTTTGGGGTTCAGTTATTATTTATTCATCTCTCATGTACATACCTTACAACCTTCCTGCAGAAATA